CCTGGGGCGTAACGTCCCTCCCGTGCATTGTCGTCTAGCGGCTCTGGACATCGGGCGTGGGGCGTGGCGGGGAGGGGTGTGTTTCGCTACCCTTCAGCTGCGCCAGAGCACGCTGTTGACTCTGCTCTGTTCCGTGTCGTGACGCGCTCCCACCTGAACGCGACGTGTTGTGTCCGACCTGCAAAGCTAAGCCGTGGCCCTTGTCGGTGTTGCAGGAGGTGCCGGCGCCGCGCTGCCTGGCGACGGGTCCCCGGGGCGGCGCCATGTGCGAGCAGGACTACGTGGACTACGAGAGCGAGGTGTCGACGCCGCCGCCACCGCAGCAGCAGCAGCACGGCCGCGTGTCCTCGTCGCGCACGCCCTCGCCCGCCTCGTGCTCGAGGGACACGCGCCTCGCGGACGCCAGGATGCAGGAGGACGGCCCCGAGGACGAGGACGACGACGCCGAGCCCGAGGATGAGCCTCGCGCGGAAGCCAGGTACGGTACCGGTGGGGACAGCGCCTCCCTAAGCCGCGCTTGACCCCGACTGACCCCTTTGTCTCTTCTCACAGTCCCAGACCGAGCCCCTCGCCGCGCGTCGGCTCCTGCCTCGGTCCCTCGGTGAGTCCGAGGCCAGGCCCTAGTCCGTCGCGGCTGGGCGGGGCCAGCCCGGTCGCCCGCAGCCAGGGCGACGACGATGTCGAGGATGAGGAGGAGGAAGAAGAGGAGCACGACGAGGAGGACGTGAAGGCCGTGCTGAACGAGGTACAAGACCTGCGGCAGGCCGCCGATCACCTCGAGAAGGAGCAGGAAATGCATCAGCACCGGAGAAGAAGTAAACAGATGCGCGACGAGGACGAAGACGTGAAACCCGTGGTGGATTCTAAAGCAGGAGTGTGTAAGTGTCTTTGGTTGCTGCAGTTTCGTATCTTAAACTTGAAGGAGTGTGGAGCATCATCCGGTGTGTCTTTCCAGTGGCCGCCGGTCTCGCCAATCTTCAGCACCTGCAAAGTTTGGCCGGCCTTCAGGGACTCCAGGGTCTCCCGGGATTGCAAGGCCTTCAAGGCCTTCAGGGGCTGCAGGGCCTCTCCCAGAGCCTGCAGGGGCTGCCCAGCCTGCAAGCGCTCTCCGGCTTGCCGGGGCCGCCTCCACCCGCGCCGCCCGCGCCCGCGCCGCTCAACCTGAGCCTCAACGCGGCCGGCAGCGTCTCGGCCGCCCCAGGGCTCGGCGGCCTCGGTGGTCTCGGAGGACTGCTCCTGGGCGGCAACCACGCTGCGACGCACACCCCGGCCTCGGCGGCGGGCTCCACGACCTCGGCTGGACCGTCTCCGCCACAGCTCCCGCAGCTGATCCTGGCGTCCGGCCAGCTGGTGCAGGGCATTCAGGGCGCGCAAGTGCTCATCCCCACCTCCCACGGTGAGTACAAGGTCCAGGAACCCCGGCCGGGCCACGCTCCGGTGGCGAGCGGGGTACACTCGAGTGAACCGTCGGGACGGGGCGGCCAGCCGCCCTCAAAGGAGTGATGTGCTCACGCCAGGAATAGCGGCCCGTCTTGAGGACAAACTGGCCGGCCGCGCTGACCACTTGGCCCGCTCCTCCTTCTCCTCCCTCGTCATCAACAGCGCCATGCTCACTCGACCGCTCTGTTGGTCCCGCAGGGCTCGCCACCCAGACGGTGCTCACCATCCCGATGAACCACGTCAACTCGGGCCAGCTGGTCAACCTAGCGCTAAGCAACGGCCAGGTGGTGAGCACGACGCTGGCGCACCTGCACTCGCTGGCGGGGCAGCAGCAGGGCCTCCAGGGCCTGCCCGGACTCCAGGGCCTCCCCGGCCTCCCGGGCCTGCCGCAGGGCCTGCAGGGAATGCCGCTCGCCAACGGACTGGGTGAGTACGCCTCGTGATTCAACGTCGGGTGGTGGTCGTGGTGACTCGGCGCGGATGGGCTAGAGCGAGCAAACGAGAGAGTGAGGTCACGTTTGTTCATCACGAACACGGACATCCTCGCTCGCTCTCTGTTTCTGTCTCTCTTGCTTTCTGTCTGCCTTTCTCTCCCCCCCCCCCCCCCCCCTCTCCTCTCTCTCTCTCTCTCTCTCTCTCTCTCTCTCCCCCCCCCCCTCTCTTTCGCATATCGCTCTCGCACATGCCCGGGCCGGATCGGGTTTACTAAACGGCTGTATGTCGTCTTCGCCGCAGCAGACGGACGTTTGTGTCACTCTGCAGCACTTCACCGTGGAGCAAATAAATGAATATTGAAAAGAATGCGATGGGAGTCGAGGAGCAGAGCGAGCTGGACAAGGGGCGGGGGGAAATGGCGAGGAGGTAAAGGCGGAGAGAGGGGAGGGGAAGGAAGAGAGTCGGCGCGCCGCGGCCATTTTTTCGGCATTTGTAATGGGTTTATTATTAAGTTTTCAAATATGCGTGCTCACGGACGTCGCCTCGGAATGGACGCGGGGTGGTGGCGGCGGCCGCAGCAGCAGCACCAGCGTTTCGCAACGCGACGCGGCGCCGCAGCGTTTTGACCAGAAAAAAAATAATGATAATAAAATAAAAGGAGATTCGCGGAAAACAAGAGCGCTGCTGTTGCAATTCGTGCGAGTGGGAGGAGGGGAGGCTCGGTCGCTCCGGACGCACCCCGTCGTCGCCGCGCAAGCACGACACGAGCCGAGCGCACCCACCTCCTCCTCCTCCTCCACCACCACCACCCCGACGCGACATCCATAATAAAATGAGGAATTGAGTTTGCTTTCCTTTTAATAGGGGACGAAATGTGATTAGGGGGAGTGCATCTGCATCCGTATTGGGTCTATCGCCCCGGACACCGTATAGAGGGGGAGCCGGGAATGAGTGACGTCTTTTTATTAGTTTTGTTTTTGTTCTCGTGGATTTAGTCAGGCCCAACAGGAAACAGTCGTGAAAGAAGAACACCCGCTAGACATGCTGAAGTAAATCTCGAAAAAGTGGACTTGCTGCACCGAAAACAGAGTTCAGGAACCCGCCGTGAACTGTTCGTCGAAGGGTCCGTGCGGGTGTAAAAACCTGTGACGTGACGGCCGTGACGGCGAGGTCCGGCAGCGAGTAACGGCCGTGACGACGCCCCCTGGCTGCCGCTGGCCGGCTGCAGCAGGGGCCTAACTAGTTTCGCATTGTTAGCAGCCAGCCCCGTTTGGCGCCGCGCGGCCGGTGAGCAGCTGCGCAGCTGCGGAGGCAGGACAGGCCCCGCCCCCGGCCCCGTAATCTGTTGTGTTGCGCTGGGGCGAGGCGGGG